GGAAGCCCTTAATTTTAATGACCACACTGATAAAACCTAAGCAAATATTTTTGGTGGCCTGATTTTAGTCAGATAATTTCACTATTAATGTTCCCTGGGCCTACCAAGGATGTATATATGTATACACCCTAGGTTGCGTCACCCAACCACCGAGGACGTATACATATGATGTATACATTGTCAAACAAAGGACATTTTTGAGAGCCCAGCTTGAATCAATAGGTCATTTCCTAGTTACCTTATGCCTTGGTCTAGAGACGAGTCTTTGTGTGAGACCATTCATATCAAAATGAGTTCCACCTACAGGTTCATTTTCATGCAAATCACTCATTTTTATATGAATAGTTTTGCATGAGGACTCATTTTGAAACAGAGGCACAAGGTAACTTGGAAATGGCCCATTATCCCGGAATGTTGAAAAAATCCATCATGGATGCTGGTTGGTGAGGGCGTTTGGCTCTGGTAGGGAAGGGGTTAAAAGTAATCCATTGTCTCACTGGAAATTAATTTTCAGTCCACTTTCCACTGCTAAAAATATAAAATCAGGTAAATTATAATAATTTCCTATCATTGAATTTTACAACATTTATTTTATAACTTGCACTCTGATTGTTTTTGTAACTGTTTTATGTCTGCTTATGTAAACACAGGTCTATATACAGTCAATCATCACTGAATTCTTCTTTTTAAAGCCATTACAGCCAAACCTCTCCTGGTCAGCTCTGTAAGGACACTCAGATCTGTCCCTTTGGTGTCTGGATTTTAAAAAGAGGTTTGACTTTATTTTTATAAAGGAACAGTAAAGAGAATTTGTTTGGGAAATCCTAATATTAGAACTTATACACCCCTATGACACCCTTTGCTCCACAAGAAGCCTAAAGGAATAAGTACATACATACCCCTATGGGTGGCTCTTGTAAAATGCACAGGAGACACTTTAAGAGAATTAGTACATATTGCAGTGAGAATGGCAAAAAGTTGCGGCCAATGCAAAGAACTGCCCAAGCCATTGGCCAGGATGTCAGAACATGAAGAACAACATTCCTAGAAGGAAAAGAAAAATTGATCAATAAATCAATCAATTAATTAAGTCATAAAGTTGTCAGTCAATCAGTCAGTGAATCAATCAGTCAATCAATCAATCAATCAATCAATCAATCAATCAATCAATCAATCAATCAGTCAGTCAGTCAGTCATATTTTAATGAATCAATTTATCAATCCATCAGTATGCGAATCAATCAAGTTATTTTAATTAGTGACTATGAATTTCCTTATCCCTTCGAGTAATAGAATATTTAACATTATTGTGAGATGAGGTGAGCAAAATATTGTGTGGCCAGCAGCTGATAATTCATTTGCTGAAGCCAAAGGCCAAGGCAAATAAGATCTGCAAGACACTGACAAATCACGATATATTTTACAATAACCGAGTTCAATAATTGTGTTATCATTTGATCACCAAGGTTGTTTTAATTATATTTAAATCATCCTCTGACAGTTCAGGGAAGCGATCTACCATTTTTAACCTGACGGCATGGTTACATTACCCATGAGCAGAATATTGTTTGCAGCAAGACACATTTAGATGGTACTACGCATGAGCAGAACATTATTCGTAAGCAGTTATTTGCAGGTCACGTGGTGGGCTCCCGGGCAATGGTAAGGAAGGAAAAAATGCATTGAATTATAAATTTTATTTTATTGCATATTAAAATATTTATAGTAACTGACTTGCAATTGAAGAGAGTTGAATAGCCTTTTTGACAAAATGATTGAAACTAACAAAGCTTTGTCATCAAAAGAAAACTTTAACTGTTATAATATAATCCCTTGTACTGGCTAATAATATAACTATAAGGTTCTGTTCGTATATATATAAAGAAGAGAATTAATGGAAATAGCTAGTTCAAGCCAGTGAATCATTTCTCATTAATTGAATGATAATTGTTCACTTACCAGAGTTTCTTATGCGCAAAACGTTTAGTAGCAGTTTGCATGGCGCTGTCAAAGAAATAGGAAAATCCCAGATTCAAAGACATCTTTCTCATTTGTAGCCGCGAAGGCCGACTGAGGAGTGTTCACGAGTCGAAAACCAACACGGTAAGAGACTCTTTATACGACCGTCAAATATTGCGTGACTTATTCTGCTGTGAGTCACGCTCGGTCTGGTGGTTCTGAGTTCATAGAGGCAATTTCTAACTTAAAATATGTCCGAAGTGAGACAATGAAGATGGAAGGAAATATTGATTGAGAAGATTGTACGCGAATCTTGAATAAAGCAGTCAAAATTTAGGAAATATTCACACAGCTGACGGCAGGCCAGCTCATACCCAATCCCCTTGTTTCCTGTTCAAGGAGTGGCTGCTAAGTTGTTTGGAAAAGAAAGCTTTTGTTTCCCTCTGACAACAAAAGGAGATATCCCCTTTGTTTGTCAAGCAGGTTTGTGCGCTTTTTTTTACCTCTAAGTATTTATATTATTTGATGAAATGGGTCGGTCTGTTTTAAAAGAGTTTAATTTATTTTTTGTGCGTAAAATATTTAGCAGGAGGTCTGTATGGGGGATTATTATATGGCAGTGTCTGACAAGGACTGGAAACTACCGAATTCACGAATTTGATTGGCTGAAATCGATATTGACCGCGGTCTAGATTT